GCATGCAGTCTCAAGAACGCTCACCGCAAAGCCCTGGGCAAGGCAGCTTGCATGACAGGCAACAGGCAGTTACGACTCACCCTCGCCAGCGAGGTGCGTGCCGTTGGCGGCGGGGCGCATGTGCACAGGCAGGAAGCACCCGGTGCAGTGGGTCCAGCGGTTGACTGAGCCGGTGCAGGCACAGGGAATACAGCACGCAGCAGAGACAAGACCGAGGAACTCACCCTCGCCAACGAGGTGCGTGCCGTTGGAGGCGGGGCGCATGTGCACGGGGAGGAAGCACCCGGTGCGGTGGGTCCAGCGGTTGAACGACCCGCGCATCCACACGTCGTGGCGGCCGTGGAGCACGGTGTTCTGGGGGTTGTAGTACACGCGCACCGTCTCCCCGGCGCGCGGCTCAGCGGGCTCCGTGAAGAACACGTGGGCTTGTGACTGCAGGAACGTCTCCATGGTGCGCCGCTTCATTGCCCGCTTCGCCTCCTGCCGCCTCACCTCCTGTGAGGGGAGGAGCGTGTGGGGAGTGTGTGGGGATGGGAAGAGGATGAAGAGGCAGCAAGGGGGTGCTGAGAGAAGCGCAGGCAAAACAGAGTGGGTTTCCGTGTGTGCTTGCTGTGCTCGGCACACCGGAGTGGGGAGCGTGGTGTGTTTTGAAAACATACCTTTTATTGCTTCTCAAGGCAATTAGCCCTTGGTGGCATTTGAGCGGACTGAAAAGTCATTCTGAGTGAACTGAGGAATGTTCTGACACCACGCCCATGGTTACCGACGAGGTGGGCGTGTATAGGAGTGGATGGGGGTGTGAGTGCACATTAGCGAGTGTGGATAAGAGCATGCAGCGCAGGTACATATGTGTGCAAGTGCGTGGGAGTGCGGGAGGGCCAGGCCCATGCCAACGCAATGCAAATGTGCTAGCGCGTGTGTGCATTTGCTTGTAAAAACTATATTTCCGCTTTCGTCTCTATACATTGTTACCCTTCCTTTCATCCTGTCAAGTCACCCTCACCCGTCAAGCACACCCACCGCTGCCAACCCTCCCTCCCCCCCCATGTCGCACCTCCTTGGCCTCGCGCTCCTCACGAGCAATGCGCTCCGTCTCCAGCTTGACCAGCAGGCGCTCCTCCAGCTCGTCAAACAGCCTCCGCGCGTCCTCGTCGCTGCCCACGCTGGCCGCGAAGTCCTTGCGCCCGTTGTTGTCGTACGCGCCCGCCTTGCCCACCGCCCCGTCCGCCATCACCCAGTTCAGCACCACCGCGTCTGCCGGCAGCGTCACTGGGGGGAGGGGGGAACGCGGGATGGGTGGGAGAATACGGGGAGAGTGAGGGGGGCATGGAGATAGGATTGGGCGAAAGAGGGGAGAGATACACGGGAGACGGGACGGAACGGGGGCCTGGGGGATGAGGGAAGGGAAGTAGGAGGAAGACGAAGGGGAGGCGGAGGGGGGAGGGTGTGAATAGGATGGGACGCATCGCTGTCTGAGGGAGCGGGCTACATTGCAGGTGAAGGGGGGAGTTATGAACCACTCACACTCCACGGACCACCAGTCGCCGTTCTCCTGGTTATCTGCTTTCAGCTCGCCCGTCGCGGACAGCCCGTCCTGCCACCCGTTCACCCCCCCGTGCACCCACACCGCGCCACTCCGCGCCAGCGGTCGCCCCGCCCTGTTATACAGCAGCCGCACAACGCGCTCGCCCCCCTCCGTGCGCCCCACCTCCTCCACGCGCCACACGCCCTGAAGGCTCGTGCCGCACGTGCGCCGCATCTCCCCCAGCCGGTTCCGCGCGTCGTTCGCCATGTCGCGCGCCTGCTTCCGCTCCGCCTCCTGCTGCGCCTTCAGCTTCGCCACCCTGCGCTCCTCCGCCGCGCGCCGCTCCCGCTCCGCCTCCTCCGCGGCCTCCCGCTCCGCCTCCTCCCTCTTGCGCTCATTAAGCATCGTCTCAAACTCTTCCTCGCCCATGCCGCCAGTGACGGCGATGTAAAAGTCCTGCCCGCCGTTGTTCTCGTACACGTTGTCCGTGCTGTGGAATACAAAGTCCACCTGATACGCCTCCTCGGGAACCTCGATGCGGCACGTCCACCAGTCGTTGGGCACCTCGGCGGACGGCTTGAGCTCCGCCTTGAACGGCTGCCACTGCCAGTTGTTGAACGCGCCCACCACGTTCACGCCCGACTTATCCTTCAGCACGCTCGCCGGGCGGTGGAAGAAGATTTCGACGGGCTTGCCCGGCTCCACCTGCCCGGGGTAGAAGAACATTTTTGCGGCGATAAACTCGTGCTCCTGCTGCAGCTTCCGCAACTGCTCTTGCCGCGGCAGCTCAACCATTTTCGCTGATTCCGCCCGCGCCTTCGCCTCCGCCTCCGCTCGCTGCCTAGCTAAGGCTTCCGCCCTCGCGCGCGCCTCCGCCACCTCCCTTGCCCGCGCGGCCGCTTCACGACTCGCCATCGCCGCTGCTTCTTCCGCCGCCTTCGCCTCCGCGTCAGCGCGCGCTCGCGACGCTGCGATTTCACGCACCCCAGCCGCGGCCTCTTCCCGCTCGCGCGCCTGCGCAGCTTCCTCTTCCGCCTTCTCCGCCGCCTGCACCGCTCTCAGCGCCTCTCGCTCCTTCTTCAGCGCCAAGGACTCGTCCCGCGCCCTTTCCGCGGACGCTTTCCGCACCGCTGCAGCTGCAGCCGCCTCCCCCGCTCCCACAGGTGTGCGCACGGCCTGCGCAGCTGCCGTCTCCTCCGGTTCCGCCTTCCCCTGCAGCAGCGCGGCGAGGCGTTGCCGCTCCTCCAGCGCCGCCTGCAGCTCCTGCCGCAGCTGCGCCAGTCGAATCTCATTCTCGCTCAACGCCGCCTTGCTCTTCCGCCTCCTCTCCCCCCCCGATACCCCCGCAGCCGCTGAATCCTCCTCCGCGTCTCCGTCATCTTTAGCCTTCTTGCTTTTCTTGTCCTTAGCTCCACTGCTGCTGCTCGCGCGGGTGCGTCGGCGAATGGGGTCGGATTTCTCAACAGCGCTGCCGTTGTCCTCGTCAGCACCATCCTTGCGAGCTCTGGCCGAGCGGCCGGGCTTGGCGGTTGCTGCGGGGAGGTCTTCCGCGCGGCTGGAGGCGGTAGAAATGCTCAGGCCGTCGCGACGGGGGGTGGGGTTGCTGCTCCCGCATTGAACCGATGGGATTTGGGCCACTCGAGACACAGAAGCTGGCGGACCATGGGAATGATCATGGGACAAGTGTGAAACGTAAAAATGGTTCTTTAGCATACGAACAATCGCTGGGAAGAGATTTCACGGAGACCAGAGAGAAGCATAAGGGAAGCGTGAAGAAAGGTGAGAGCTCACGTGAACGCTCGGAATGCTGAAACGAGAAGGTGTCGGGAAGGCGAAAGTCACAGGAGGCACAGGAACAAAGAGCTGGATAAGAAATGACCAACCTGGAGCCCATCTGCTGGTGCGACATAGGAGAGTGCTGCTGGCCCAGCCAACATTCGCCTGAAGCTTACAGAGCCTGCGAGACTGAAAACGATTAATCCAGACAAAGGCTGTAAGCGTGTAAATTGATTCACAGATGCAGTACATGCAATCAGGAACAGTCAGCCAGCAGTGTTTATTTCCCTATATAATAATAAAAAATCACAGTCAGCGGTGTTTGAATTAACTCGATTAATTCTTTCACTGGTAAACAGGAAAATTGAGACGTACAGTGGTTAGGGAGGTCACTGCAACTGTGCACGTATTGCCCAACGCCATTCCGACGGTACTAGCCATTGCCGGAATCCGAGCACCAAAGTGCTGAAACCAAATGAGAGCTTTACAATGGCTACTGCTTTAAGGCTTAGAATATCGGAAGATTCAGCACCTTCATGCTCGGTGTGGGGCCATGGACAGTAAGCAACAGCTGGTTGAGATTTGAACAAAAGCGAATGCGGAAAGCATGAAAGAATGGTTATGTGGTGGTGGACGCGGGGGGAGGCTGAAGGGGAAAGGCGTGCAGCCAAGAAGCACAACCAGCCTCAAAGAAAGGCTTGGCACGTGGCACCACGACATGCAAACCGCTCCATTGGCTCCCAACGAGAGTCATCCGATCTCAGCGCGTGAAGGAATGCCACATAGGCTGGTACGGGAACAATCTAGGCGCCCTGTCATGTGGTTTTGAGCTGTAGTTGTGACAGGTTGGAGGTTTGTCCTTTGGGATCTCCTTGGACGTGTGGTCTGGATGATGCAAGACATTTTCCAGCACATCAACGCCCCGCGTCCATAGGATGTGAGGTGGACCACTCTGCCGACACCAGCCTCGACACGCGTTTCAGCAGAATTTCACTTTCACAAATATGTAACAGGTCCCACCGAAAAACATGTTGCGACCATTTCTCGAAATGTGTAACTCGCATTCTGGTAACACCCGCTTTCTTGTTCAAAACGGGTGCTTGATTGGATATGTTCCGAATTCTGTGCCGCAGGTGATTGGTCGTGCCATTTGTGCTGCACCTTTTCGCTGACACCAGATCTTTTTGCTGACGGCACTGCGCACCCGCCCCTCCATCCTTCTGTTCCGCACTCCGCTGGCCCCCTGCAGCGTGCTGCTGACCCTGCCTCCTCCCGCAGAAATGGATCCCTGCCCCGCTCCGCGCAGATCTGCACCTCCGCCTTCCCTGCCGTTCGTCCGCGCCCTCTGTCACGCTCTTCCCCCACCCCAGCTCTGGTGAGCACATGCACCGCTTCATTCATGCATGCCTCGCTCTTTTTCCCTTCACTGTTTTCCTGGAGTTCTCCACGCCGGCGACCCTTCCAGAGTACTGAAGTCATTATGCAAGGTCCGCCATCTGGAGGAAGTGGAGTGCTTATTCTTATGTATTTTAGGATGACTTAGCCAATTTTCACCACGTCTTGCCGGTTTCACCACCGCTCCTATCGCTGATGTTCGATTCGTTATCTAATCCGCTGAATTTGTCTGCGACTTATTAACTTACCGCGTGCGGATCTTCGTCAACACGTTACTAGTGTCGGTCATTGTTGGTAGGCAGCCATGGGAGCGGGCTCGAGTCAACCCGCGCATCAGCAGCATCGTCGGTCACAGCCAGCCAGGCCGCCGCAGTACTACCTGCCCGTCCCCTACTCCGTCCCCGCAGGCGCCGTTCCGCAAGCCCCGTACGGCCATGCGCCATACCCCTATGGATACGCGTACCACCCGCAGGCCGGCGGCGGAGTGCCTCCCTCTCCGTGGCAGCACAACCCGCACTATCCGCCTCCTCCGCCCGCCGCGCCATGGTACGGCGGATATCCCGGGCACGCGCCGCCGCCATACCAGGTCCCCGTTCCGCCGATGATGCCGGTGCCGCCTCCGCCTGTGGTAGCGGAGCCGCAGCAAGCGGTGACGATAAGGAACGAGGTGAACGTGAAGCGCAGCTCGCTGCGGTTGCTGCGCGACCCGGCAGATCCCAGCAAGCACCTCGTCGCCTTCACCTTCGATGCCACCGTCAGCGGCAGGTGCGTTGCGATACTCGATCTCTGGTCACCACGCAAAGGAAATTGGTTTTGTTGCACTTGTTTACCACGTCAAATTGTAAGTTTTGTAGATCTCGTCTTCACTGTTGGCCGTCCCGTCGGTGCACGTGCAGTGTGAGCGTGTTCATCGCGGCGCAGGAGGGCGAGGGGTGCAGCTTCAGGGGAGTCTATCCGCAGGTGCACACACCAACGGTCGTGCGCTTTTCCAAGGGACTCGGTCAGAAGTTCGTGCAGCCGTCAGGAACGGGCGTCGACCTCTCGTGCATCCCGGAGGAGCATCTCTTTAGGGTTTCAGGCACCAGCCCCGTGTATCCGCTCGTTATTCGCACTCGCGTCGAGCCCAGAAGCTCGAAATCCGCGGCGGTAGCGTCTCAGAATAGTAGCGGTAGCAGCGGTGTCAGTAACGTTCAGTCCAGCGCGCCCGCGAGCGCGTCGTCGTCAGAGCCGTGCTCCGCCGGCAGCAGCCATGGCGTAGAATCATGCGACTCGGATCCAGGCGCTCCGCTGCCCACGTCGGTGCAGTCTCAGATGACCTACGCTGTGTTTGAGAAGGCCGCTGTAACGCGTACGGAGAAAGAGGGAGAAGGGGAGTCGGTGGAGGGCGATAAGGGGGGGAAGGGCACAGGGGAGCTGCCCGGGCTGTACGTGGTGCGGCCGGTGAAGCAGAAGATCTGGGTGGATGGCACCAGCTACGAGGTGCAGGTGCGTGCCGCGTTGGGCCAATACTCTCATGGTTGCACCACTCCGCTCCTCTCGACCCTTTGCTCGCCCATTTCCCGCTCTTGCATTCACCCGCCACCCATCATTGTACGTCACCACCACACTCCACACTCACCTCCCCCTCCCCCCCTCTTCCCCCCACCTTCTCCTCTTCCCTCCATTGCTGCCTGGGCTGGCTGTGCGCTATTCCATTGTCGGCCGTCCGTGCAGGAGATCTACGGCATCGAGCAGTGCGGGCGGGCCAACATGGGCAGGAGCAAAAAGGGCGAGGCAGAGGGAGCGGGGGGTGAGGGGTCGGCATTGGGGGGGGGCGAGGAGGAGGAGGAGGAGGACGAGGTGGCGGGCAAGGAGTGTGTGATCTGCATGTCCGCGCCCAGAGACACCACCGTGCTGCCCTGCCGCCACATGGTACCCCTTCCACCGCTTCTGCTGCAATCTCCATATTCGCTGCACCATCTTTGTTGCTTTGATCATTGCATTCATTAAAACCTTCAGATTCATCTTGGTTTTGCAGTTGTGCAGACCTCTTGTGCTTCTCTCACGTTCTCCCCTTTCCTCCCCCGTCCCCCCTCGTCCGATCCGACACCCCCACCCACCCATACACGTGGCAGTGCATGTGTGCGGACTGTGCCAAGGTGCTGCGCTACCAGACCAACAAGTGCCCCATCTGCCGCCAGCCCGTGCAATCATTGCTCGAAATCCGAGTGCCGCCCAGACTGCCCTCGCTGGACGGGCCTGAGCCGACTTCCCCTGAGGCGCAGGGAGAAGCAGCGGCGGCGGGGAGGCAGGGGCATGGAGAGGCGCGTGCAGGGCCTCCACTGGCAGGGTCGGATGGCCGTGCCGATCCTAGGTCAGCAGCGGCTCTTGCGGGCAGTGGTGCTGCTGAGGAAGGAGGTTCCCGGGGGCATGGTGAGGCGAGCAGAGGTGTGGATGCAGCGGCAGGGAGGAGCGCAGGTGTGAGGGGCGGCGGTGGAGGAGAGGGGCCGGGTGGCAGTGCTGATGTGGCGGGGTTGGCTGATCAAGTAGACTCGCTTCTGTTGGGTACAGGTAGTGGCAGATGATTGTGCTGACTTACAGAGGCTACACTGTGTTTTGCTACACTGTTCATATGCATGAGCCAACCTTCGCAGGAGGAGGCCAAAATATGATTTTTTCTTTAAAGTGTGTAACACTTTCTAAAAATGTGTATTGTGAAAGCGCAGCTTACTGTAGCGAAGCAAGGCAACGGCGAATTACTATTCGCCGAGTACATAACGAGGGTTGGAGGCCTTTTGGCCTCCACCCACGTCTTCATTTCGGAACTTTGCAGTTCCATTCTCGTCCAACCACCTCGTCGTTCCACTTTCTCCTAGCACTCTCGTTCAAATTTCTCATTCATAGCTCTCCTTTTTATAGAAGGCGATGGCGCTTTGCACCAGAACGCCGATTTTAGGAGAGGGCTTATACGCGCCCACAGCTGTACCTTCTGCCAGTGGGCGCGCGTGACCCAGCGGGCCGGACTAAGTGACAAAATCGCCTCAGGCGCGCCTGTGACGAAATCGCCTCAGGCGCGCCTGAGACGAAATCGCCGATGGTGCGCCTAAGACGAAATCGCCTGTGGTGCGCTCGAGACAAAATCGCCAGCTCCCCTGAGACGAAATCGCCAGCTCCCCTGAGACGAAATCGCCAGCTCCCCTGAGGCGAAATCGCCATAGGCACGCCTGACGACAAAAACGCAACTGGCGCGCCTCACGACGAAACCGCCAGTGGCGCGCCTGGCGACGAAATTGCCTGACGAGATTGCCACCAACGAGACTGCCAACGAAATCGCCACCAACGCGACGGATGACGATATCGCCACAGTCGAGCCTGACGAGATGGCAAGGGCGCGTCTGCAAAAAATTGTGGTGTGACAAGGCGAAAACGCCACGGACATGACGGGACGCCTCCGCTACATCAACCGCTGCAACTTCTACCGGCAATGCGGGCGTGACGCCTGCACTGTTATTATCATTTTTTATTGCAACACGGGTATGTGTTTCCATTTTTTCAAATTGGTCAATAATTATATGTCTTCTCCGCTCTGGTTTTCACTGATCGCAGTTTGCAGGAATATCTGCGCACGGACGAGTGTCAACGCTTGGCACATCCCCGCGTCGTTCCTAGGAGGGGAAGAGGACCGAGGGTCCCGGCTGGCCAGAGGGCCGTTCCCCATGGGGGGAAGGGGACCGAGGGTCCCGGCCAACCAGAGGGCCGTTCCCCATGGGGGGAAGGGGACCGAGGGTCCCGGCTGGCCAGAGGGCCGTTCCCCATGGGGGGAAGGGGACCAAGGGTCCCGGCTGGCCAGAGGGCCGTTCCCCATGGGGTAAAGGGGACCGAGGGTCCCGGCTGGCCAGAGGGCCGCTCCCCATGGGGGGAAGGGGACTGAGGGTCCCGGCTGGCCAGAGGGCCGTTCCCCATGGGGGGAAGGGGACCGAGGGTCCCGGCTGGCCAGAGGGCCGTTCCCCATGGGGGAAAGGGGACCGAGGGTCCCGGCTGGCCAGAGGGCCGTTCCCCATGGGGGGAAGGGGACCGAGGGTCCCAGCTGGCCAGAGGGCCATTCCCCATGGGGGGAAGGGGACCGAGGGTCCTGGCCAACCAGAGGGCCGTTCCCCACGGGGAGGGGACCGAGGGTCCCGGCTCGTGACATGCGGAGATAGAGAGAGAAAGAGACACGAGAGCTGGCACACGGGTCATTGTGCCAATGAAGGAGTATATGCACATTGCGACAAGCTTGTGATATGTAGAAAAAAAGGGGACTTACCCTATGCCATCCTTGGCTGCCGGTATAATGCCTTTCAAAATTGTTTTTGCCCTAGTATGTGTCCTTGTATGTGCCTTTGTATTGATTGTCCAAGACAGATCTTGCGGAATTTGTTACATTATAAAATGCTCGAATTGAGAGCCTTGGTTACAAACCACCTTGAACATGGCTTGAGAAACGATTGTCCTTGTCGAAAGGAATCTACAAATGCTTTAAGCTTTTAATATGCTGCCCTTGACTCAAACAAGGAATGGAGATACACCTGCTCTCACATTGAGTCCGAGGTTTTGAACAAAAAAACAGACATTACCGTGCAAAGGGACAGTAGTATCGTGAATTCCGACGACGCGACCCGACACTGGCATGAAATTAAAGCCATCCAAGTTAGAGTTGGGGTAGTGTTGCTTGTGATCACTTATTTCTGCCTTGTTGTGATGTTTCTGAAACTCCCACATTAGATGACATACTCATGATTGATTCTAGGTGTGATGTGTACATAGTACGCAGTTCTGTAAAAGTATCCTGGCTGGAACATTTATTATCGTACGGGTCTTTATTGCTCATTCATACGGTACATACCGCACGATCATTCACCATCTGATGAACTTCTCAAAGTCCCTAATGGTAATAAAAAGCCATACCGGTACCTCTGCGTTCACACTCCTCCTAGCGCAGCTCTCGCGCCGCATGCGCCCATCCCAAGCCATCCCGCCTGCTAATCCACTTGGTGATTTCATTCTGACGATCGCATGCCAGTCATGAGGCCTCATTGGCAATCTTGGCCTCTCGTGTGCTCTCGTGGACAATCGCGAACGTGAAAAGCAGCTCTTGACAATAATTATAGAGTAGTCACTAACGCTAACTCCGTCATACAAGAATTACTTGCATGCAATTTCGCTCTGTCATCCACACGTCAATCACGCGGCATCATCGGGAGACGTCAAACATCCACGCCCTCAACAGCTAACATCAACCACCAGTTTCAACCACACTCTTCTGCTGCACCAATAACCAGGGACATCTACATCAATGGAACGAGCGACCGTCATACACAACATTCCGAAACCCAACGGCATGGCGATCGCATCGCAACCAACGCACGCCACATCTCTCAGCAATTCGTCGAGGCCATCAACCACAACAAGACTCAACACGTCTTCACCGCTCCTAACTACACATGTCTCAGTAAACCCAACTGTAATGAAGCACGTTGCCTTTGCAAGAACAGAAAGCAAGCTTTCTCAATATGATTTTTTTTAAAAGTGTGTAACACTTTCTAAAAATGTGTATTGTGAAAGCGCAGCTTACTGTAGCGAAGCAAGGCAACGGCGAATTACTATTCGCCGAGTACATAACGAGGGTTGGAGGCCTTTTGGCCTCCACCCACGTCTTCATTTCGGAACTTTGCAGTTCCATTCCCCACCCACCCACCCTAGTCATATACTTGTAAAATCTATAATTAGGTTGGACGAGAATGATGTAATTACTGCAACTGTAATGAAGCACGTTGCCTTTGCCAACTGTAATGAAGCACGTTGCCTTTGCAAGAACAGAAAGCAAGCTTTCTCAATCTACAAATTACATGAGTTGCCTTTGGACTGGGATGTTCCATAAGTTCACTACACCTTGGGGCAATGCATGGGGGTGTTTATATGGAAGGGGTTGTTCCTATATCTTGGGGCAATGCATGGGGGTGTTTCTATGGAAGGGGTTGTTCCTACATCTTGGGGCAATCTATGGGGGTGTTTCTATGGAAAAGATTGGAACAACTACTACCGGTATACGGGAATTAGAATTGCAGTGGTGTATGTAAGGATTTACAAATCCTTACTGAGCACTCGTTAGCGAGGCCATCCCGAGGGTTACGCGACGAACCTGTCTTGCCTATTTCGTCGCACCGAACAACCCCCGAGTCGCCTCCGCACCAATTGCAACCATCACCGAACCATCCTCGCCCGACCTCTCCGCCTAGCTAGGATTTCCCCTATTTAGTCGTGCCATTCTCATTGTATAGTCATTCAGTAATCAACCATTCTCGTTATTCGTGTATCTTCGCACACTCTGCAAGTTCATTCATAACTTTGTGCCTATCTAGTGAACTCAATTTACAGTCCCACTCATTCATGCAGACCATTTTCTAGCAGGTGACATCCATTCTGCTTCACCCTCACCCGTTTCCATCCGCAGCCTTTCTCCTCTTTTTATAAGCAGATACATTGATCGCACATGTGCTGTTCCTGTGTAGCCGTGTCTGGTGGCGCGCGATGATGCTGTGTGTCTCCTCCCCCCCCGTCACACACAAGCGCTCGTCAGCACACAACAGGCTCAAACTGTCGCGTAGCTTGGAGGAAGTCCAGCATGACAAGTGTACGTTCAGTATCCACCAGCACAGCCCAGCCAAGTCCAGCCAGCCAACACAAACCCCACTGACCGTACACCAGAGGAACCCCTCACGGTCGCAGAGTTTAGTACTGTAGTGTCAGCCTCGTGGCGCGGGGGGAGGCAGCTGAGAGTTCGACTGCCAGCCAGCCCCACAACACAACAACCACTCCTCCGCCCGCGCCACCCCCATTCACACCCTCCCTCTCCTCCCCCCTCCCCCCATCCCCCAGGTTCCTTACCTCTGCTCATCACTTGTTTCTGGCAGAAGTGCTCTCGTGCAAATTCTGTTCTCCGTTGGCCCATGAACGACGCAGACCGCACCAGCGACGCCACGCAGTGCTCTGGTTAGCCGTTAGCTATGTTCACCTGTTAGCTCTTCGCTACCTCCACTTCTCGTACGATCCATGTCCATCGAAACACCGAAACGGATTTCGCTTAGCACCTATTCTCGGCACATTCACTCTCCTCGGTCGGTGCAATTGATCTAGTCGCCGCACTACTAGTAGACTCGCGTTACGTCTCGCGTGCCCCACTGGCAGTAGTTTATTTATGTGATCTTCTCCGTGCTTAACTTACACCTCGACGACGTCGTTCAGTCCGTCGACATGCAGTCTGGCCGCGCCGCGAGATCTCATTCCACATGTCGAAATGCCGTAGCTCGGAGACATATCCACCTCAGGGCATACACTCTTAAACAAAATCCGCATTTACGTGGCAAGAATACAACGCGCTTGTCGTTAGCACAATGTCTACTGCCGCTGCTGCTCTCTCTAGTCCTACCGTTCGCGCCGGGAGCAGCGGCGCAGGGCAGACCAGATGCCGTCGCGAAACTACCCGGTCAGCCGGCAAGCGCGCCCAAGTTCAACCAGTCAGCCGGCTACATAACGGTGGACGGGCGGAAGGCGTACTTCTACTGGCTCGTAGAGGCCATCGGGCAGGCCGACTCCAAGCCGCTGCTGCTCTGGCTCAACGGCGGTAAGACTTAGGACACGTGCGACGGCCTTAGGAGACGCGCAACGGCGGTGATTTTAGGATACGCGCCAGCCTTAGGACAAGCGCAGCGGCGGTGAGTCTCTCAAGAGACCGCCCTACCGCGGCGCGTTAGAGAACACGCAACGGCGGTGCATTATTGGACGACGCTTACTGGCTTTTGTTGATGAAGGAATGCTTTTCTGATGGTTTCCTTCGAGCAGCCGCATCCTGTCAAATTTCGGATTCTCCTTTAGCATGGCATTAAGCAGGGCTATCGCCTATTCGTCTCTCGCGGTCAAAAGCCTAGTTGCGAATCAGCCTTGTGTCGAGTCAGGCCCGCGGATAATTTAGTAACTAGCCGCACAAGCGTCCGTGCAATCCTGGGTCTACCCGTCCTCTCTCCGCATTGCACCACGCGCCCTCGCGTATGTCCCGCGCATTCACGTTTCCCCCTTCCCGCCCCATTCCCCTCCCGTCCCCGCATGTCCTCCTCTCCCTGTGTCCTCCTTTCCCCTTGCCCCCATCTACCCATGTCCGCGCGCGCGGCAGGCCCGGGGTGTTCGTCGGTGGGGTGCGGGCTGTTCGAGGAGGTGGGGCCGTGGCGCGTCGCGTCCAAGGCGGGCGCCGCGCTTCTCTACAACAAATACGCCTGGAACCGACGTCAGCGCGCTCCCCGCCCTCCCCGCTCTCTCCGCTCTCTCCGCCCTCCTCGCTCTCGCCGCTCTCTTCGCGCTCCTCGCTTCCGCCGCTTTCTATGCTCCCGTCGCTCTCTCGCATTCCTGCACATCCCTTCAACCCCGCCCCGCCCGCTCGCTCGCGCACATGCCATTTCAACCACACGCTTCGCGCGCCGCTCCCGCACCCGCACTCTCCGTGCTTCTCCGCGCCACTCCCTGCACTCACCTCCCCCTCCCTCCCCCACGTTTTCCCCCTCTTTCCCCTCCCTCTCCCCGCCATTCCTCTCCTGGCTGCCGGCGCGCGCAGTGGTGAACATAGTGTTCCTGGAGTCGCCCGTGGGCGTGGGGTATTCGTACTCCACGGACTCGGCCGACTACACCACCGACGACGACCAGACAGGTACTCACTCACACTTCCTAAGTCTCGTGCCATTTCCGCGCGCGAGCGCGCTACCTCTGCTCCGCGCCATCAACACCCCGTGCTGCCCTCTTCGCTCATCAGCACCCCGCCTCTCCATCCCGCCTGCCCCTCTCACCCCCGCTCCCCCTCGCTCCTCCCGCCCCCACCGCTCCCCCCGCTCCCCTCTCTCCCCCGCCAGCGAAGGACAACCACGCGTTCCTGGTGGGGTTCGTGGCGCGGCACCCGCGGTTCGCGCGGAGAGAGTTCTACATCGCGGGGGAGAGCTACGCGGGTAAGGGGGAGAGCTACGCGGGTAAGGGGGAGAGCTACGCGGGTAAGGGGGAGAGCTACGCGGGTAAGGGTGAGAGCTGCGCGGGTAAGGGGGAGAGCTACGCGGGTAAGGGGGAGAGCTACGCGGGTAAGGGGGAGAGCTACGCGGGTAAGGAGGGGTATGCTGGGAGCTTTGCTTGCAGTAACTTGGTGCGCTCGCCTCTGCGTCTTCAGATTCAGCTTCGCCCGCGTCGCACACACCTCATACCCTCCCCACTCGCCATGCTCCCCTCTCGCCCGGGCCACCTCGTCTCGTTCTCCGCAGGCCACTACATTCCGCAGCTCGCCGCCCGCATCATCGAGCAGAATCAGATCGACGGCGGCACGCGGCTCAACCTGGACTTTTCGGGGATCTTCCTGGGCAACCCGTTTGTGAACTATGCACATGACACCAAGGCAAGCTGCCCGCTGTGTTCTTTTTGGTTTGAAGGACATGTAATCTTATTTGTTGTGTACTGGCATGATTAGCTTCTCTTGTCCTTGCGACATCCCTGCGTTCCACATCCGACCCTGCGTGCCGGTCATGCCACATCCGCGCATGTGTATCATAGCGCCATGCAACCCGCCCGCCCACCCCGCCCCATGCGTACGTCTACCCTTCTCGCCCCCGCCACCAGGGCCCCATCCAGTTCTTCTACGACCACGGCATGCTCAGCTCCGACCTCTACAACGACGCCATCAATGTACACTCGCCCCCTCCCCGCCCCCTTCCCCGCCCCGCCCCCTCCCCCCGCCCCTCCCCCCCCTCTCTCCACATGCCCCTCGCCCCGGCCCTCACCCCGTCCCTCTCCCCGCCGCTCGCTTTCACAGCCAGCCCCACCTGTTCCCCTGCCGTGCCCACCCACCCCGCTCGCTTCTTCTCCCAACCCCTGCATCTTTCACGCTGCCCCTGCTGCACCTGCTGCACCTGCTGCACCTGCTGCTGCTGCTGCACTCAGTGCCCCACTCACTGCCGTGGACCACTGCTCCTCGCACTGCTAGTCTCCTGCTCCCCGCTGCAATCACTCTTCACACTAAACACACCACTCCTCTGCATCATCGCCTCTCTCCCCCCCCCCCCTCCCCTCTCCTCGTGCCTCTGCTCCATGCCCCTATCCCCCGTGCCCCTCTGCCTGTGCGCGTGCGTGTGTGCGTGTGCGCCCCCCCGGCAGTGCGACTTCTCATACGGCGCCACCAACCTGGAGTGCCGCTACCACATCAACTCCGCCTTCTCGCCCTGGGTGCGTGCCACACGCCATGCCATGCCATGTCGTGCCGTGCCGTGGGGCATGCTGCATGCCGTGCCACGCTGCTTGCTTGCTTGCGTCGCCCATCCCCTTCCCACCCTTCTCTCACACCCTCAAGTTAATCTTGGCTCATGGGTGGCTGCACCCCCATTCCTCTCGCCTTCATTCATCTCGTCCCCCATTCCTCATTCATCTCGTCCCCCATTCCTCATTCATCTCGTCTCCCATTCCTCATTCATCTTGTCTCCCCACTCCATGTGCCTCTCTGCTGCCTTGTCGTGGCATATGCGTGCATGGCATGAATGGCATGGCATGAATGGCATGGCATGAATGGCATGGCATGGCACGGGCGGCTCTGCTCATCGCTCGCCAGTACGAGCCAATCGACCCCTACAGTAAGTACCACCCACCACCACCACCACCACCACCACCACCACCACCACCACCACCACCACCACCACCACCACCACCACCACCACCACCACCACCACCACCACCACCACCACCACCACCACCACCACCACCACCACCACCACCACCACCACCACCACCACCACCACCACCACCACCACCACCACCACCACCACCACCACCACCACCACCACCACCACCACCACCTGCCATGTGCTGTCTCACCTCTCCCGCCCTATTGCGTCTCCCTCTCCGTGCCTCTCAGTTGCTCTCTGCACACCCACCCACCTGCACACGCTCCTCTCACGTCCTGTTACGGCCTCTCAACATCTCTGATCTCTGTGCACCTCTTCTCGAGTCCTCACCCTCACCACTCCCACCGTCGCTCTTGCCACCCCCCATTCACAACCCCCCCCCCCCCAGACATCTACGCGCCCTACTGTCTGGCGGACATCTCATCAGCGCGCCTCTCCGCCTCAGCGCGCATGAACCCGCGCCTGCGCTTCTCCATGGCCGCACTGCAGGCCGCCATCCAGCAGCAGCAGCAGCGGGCGCTGGAGCAGCAGCAGGCAGCGGCGCAAGCACAAGCAGCCGCAGGGGGTGGGGAGGTGGCGGCGCCAAGCGGTGCAGGGAGCAGCAGCGGAGCGGGGGTGAGTGGCAAGGCGATGGACCCTCTAGACAACCCCGCGTGCATGGACGCGTGGGTGCAGCGCTACCTGCGCTCGCCCGCCGTCTACAGGACCCTCCGTGCGCCCGCTATCCGCGCCTCCCAGTGGAGCCTCTGCTCGTAAGCCCAGCGGGGGGGCGGGCAGGCGGGCGGGGTTATGGGTGGGCAGGCAGGCTGGAAGGTGGTGGGTGCGTGGGTGCGTGGTGGGCACGGTTGTATAGCGTGGCTGCAACTTGCCTCTCTTTACCCCCACTCCACCCCCTCTCACCCTTATCGCTCTTCATTGCTCACGTCACCTTCCACGCACACTCGTTTCTCCATTGCTCCCCTTTGTCTTGCATTCCTGCCATTCCCCTCCCCCCCTCTCCCCCCCCAACAGCAACAGCATAGACTACAGTGCGACCAACCAGGGCAGCGACATCATCCCCACCATCGCGGCGCTGCTGGACCACCCCATCCGCTTCTGGATCTTCTCGTACGCCCCCCACCCCTCGCCCGCTTGCCCCCCTCGCCCAATGCCCTCCCGTTGCGCCCCATGCCCCCCACCCGGTCACCCCTTGCTCCGTTGCCCTTTTACCCAAGCCTGCATCGCGTTCACCCAACTGCTGCACCCCTCATTGCCACGTGCCTCGTCTCTGACGCCATTCCCCATGCACGCGCCTCGCGCCCCCCGCCTCAGCGCATCTGTGCTGCCCATCCCATCCCATCCCGCACTGCTCTGCCCTTCTCCCGCACATGTCTCTCCCCATGTGTGTGTCCCACAGGGGCGATGCGGACAGTGTGGTACCGTTCACGGGCACGCGCGTGTGGATAGACATGCTGGGGCTGCCCGTCATGCAGCCGCAGTACCCCTGGCTCATGCCCTCGGGCCAGGTGCGTGCCACCTGCTCGCTCGTGCTCCCCAGCTCCCCACCACTGGGGGTACAGCGCCCCCCCACCCCTCGCTATAGCTTTCGCCTGGGGCTCATGTCGTATCGGCGTGCCATGAGAGCATGCGCACTCGCAACTGCACCTCGCTCTCTCCATCTGCCATGTGCTTGTCACTCCCTCTTTCCGCACTCCTGCTTGCCTCTCTCAGCCCAACCACCTTCACCCTGCACGCTCTTACCTCCCATGTGCGTGTGCATGTGTGTGCATGGGTGTGTGAGCAGGTGGGCGGGTGGGCGACGCAGTATGACAAGCTAACATGGGTGACAGTGAGGGGGGCGGGGCACCAGGTGCCCACAGGCAGGCCCGAGGAGGCGTTTGTGCTCTTCCAGTCCTTCCTCCTCGCCCAGCCCCCACCCAGCACTGTTCAATGGTGATCTGAGACCGCCCCGCCCTGCACTGTACACTTGCAATGAGTTGCTTTGTAATGTATCTATATATATTTATTTGTTCTTACACCAAGCCAGGCCAGGCACCCAATGCTGCACGAAACCGACAGGGGGCGCCCACAGGGGCTCATCGCTTTGGGCTGGGTGCTTGCAGGCATTCCGGCCTTGTCCACTGCAAGCACGCTGTGGGGTCATGGTCGTGGTCATGACTCACAGCCCACGGCAGCCCATGTCGTGTTCTGTGGGACGGTGAACTAGTTGCTGCAACAAAAGGAGATGGGACAAATGGCCTTCTGTTTACATACACACCATGAGATCATCAACCTTCGATGGCCACTCGTTGGAGGAGGGGATGGTGAAACAGCACTACAACGCATGCTTGTGGTTCCAGTGATGAGCCTACAGCACCTGGTGCTGCTCAGCTTGTGAGCGCCCCTCACTCGTCTCACTCTCCTCCATCACTCTCCTCCATCACTCTCCTCCATCACTCTCCTCCATCACTCTCCTCCTCCCCTCCTCCCCCTTCTCCCCCCTCACCGCACCTGTCTCCCCACCCTTCCGCCTCTCTGCACGTCGCCTCATCCTCTCAGCAGCCCTCTCCGCCTTCTCCCCCCCCGGCCCGCCCACCGCCCCCCACCGCTCAAACTGCCGCTGCCTGGCCCGCGCTCTTTCCTTCTCCTCCTCACTCTTACTGCCATGGCAGTGCGGGCACGACACACCCGCCTCCCACAGGGGGGACAGCCGGTCGGCCTCGTCCACGGGCTGCTTGCAGGCGTAGCAGAGCGAGTAGGTGGCGGTGGGGAGCATGCCGTGCCCCACGGCCACGCGCTTGTCAAACACGAAGCACTCGCCGCGCCACAGGCTGTCCTCGGGAGGCACCTCTGCTAGATAGCGCAGGATGCCCCCGTCCAGGTGGAACACCCGCTCCTGGTGGGGGGACAGGTGCGGGGATGGGTGACGTGTGAGGGGCTTTGAGAGATCTGTACTGCTGTACATGCTTTCACAAGGTCTTGGCGACTCAGGTGAATGGACAGGCAGCGAGGCAGTCAGCGGGTCGGGCAGAGGAGCGGGTAGCGGTGGGGGGAGAGCGGGGCGGGGGGCACCTGGGGGAAGCCGAGGTGCAGCATGTAGGCGGTGGCCTTCTCACAGCGGATGCCCCCCGTGCAGAACATTGCCACCCTCGGGAGCGACGCGGACTCGGACGGCGAGGCTTGGAGAGACCCAGGGGACTCGGGAGTAGACGCGGAGTCAGGGGGAGTAGTGGAGGGGGAGGAGGCGGAAGGTGGGGAGGGAGGCGCGGAGGAGTTGGGGGGCGAGGGCGGGAGGGGGAGGTGGTTGTGGACCCAGGCAGGGAACTGGCGGAAGGAGCGTGTGTTGGGGTGGGTGGCGCGGTGGAAGGCGCCTATGCGCGTCTCGTAGTCGTTGCGCACATCCACCACCACCTGGGGGCGGGTTCATTGTGCGGGGGTTGGAGAAGGGGGATTGGCGGGAATGGGTTTAGGGGAACTGGGAGGGAGGTGGGGGTGGAGAGGGATGCGGAAGGAGGGGCCGCTGTGGTGGGAGGGTAGGGGGGTGGTGACACATGAGGTCATGAGGACACGGGAAAGGCAGCAGTGTGGAGTGAGAGACGGCAATGCAGGCAACGCGGGGGGAGCAGGGGGTGCGGGGAAAGCAGCAGGCGCGTGGGGAGGAGCGGGCGCGTGGGGAGCAGCGGGCGCGTGGGGAGCAGCGGGCGCGTGGGGAGCAGCGGGCGCGGCGACTGACCGTGGTGGGGTCGGAGATGAGGTCGTTCCACTCGCGCGGACTCACGTACGTGCCCACGCCGTCCGCTGGGTTCACCTCCGGCATACCCAACGTCACTATCTGCCCGCCACAGTGCCAACGGGGGCGGAGGGGGAGGGGAAAGAATGGGGGAGAATGGAAGGGAAGGTGGGGAAGGGAGAGGGGGAGGAGGCAGCGTGTGATGAGGGAGGAATGGGATCGAGCGCTGGCTGTGTCGCGCTGCGAGTGTGCGCGTCGCGCAGTTAGCCCCGCCACGATGCACCAAGCAAATCCTTTTCCTGTGCGCCCTCTCCCTGCCCTTTCCCCCTCCTCCCTGTCCCCCTTGCGCGCACCTCCTGCTTCACTTTGACGCGCACGTGGTTCCATCGGAACGGCGCGTCTCGCCCCGCCGCCAGCGGGGAACACTCCGACTGCCCGTCCACCGCTTCCGCCTCCGCTCCCCCTTCCTCCCGCTCCTCCGCCTCCATTGCCTCCGCTGCGCGGTGCGCCTCTCTCTCCTCCGCGCCCGCCGGCTGCACGGTGGTGCGCAGCCCCGCCAGCCGCGCATCGGCGCGCAGCCAGTCAATGACAGCATCGGCGGCGTCGGGCGTGCCGCAGATGCTGCCGTTGATGCCCTCGCGCGCGACGATTACGCCGCCCGACACGCGGTGCTGGCGGCACACCTGCTCGAGCGGGCGCTTAAGCGCGTCGCACTCGTCCAGCTGCGCGAACTTGTAGAACGATATCACCACCAGACTGCTCCCGCCATGGCTGCTTCTGCTGCTGCTGCTGCTGCAGCTATTAACGCTCGCGCCGCTGGACGTTCTGTCAAGCTTACGTAGTTCCGCGCTAACGTCAGCCTGGCGCGATTCCGCTGGTTCTGCTTGTTCTGTGCTAAAGCCTTCTCCCTCGGCGCCGACCTTGCCAAAACCCTCTCCCCCGTGCGCCATGGCACACGGCCGTCTTTTGCCCAATGTGTCTGTTCCACTCTGCAAAATTATCCGTGGAATCTGGAAATGAGAAACGCGTATCTTGCGTTCGGCTATCGTTGAAACCAAACAGCCAAAATTGGCTGCTGGAGGCCACCCCGATCCCGCTAGTTGCGGCGACAGCAGCGTGTGACGCCCGCGAGAGGCGCAAAGCGCAACAGATACCCTCAGTTGAGGAGAGAGAGCGGCGGTCGGATGCACCATGTCCCCCAGATTCGGCTCGCCGAGCCGCGCAAGGGATACCACAGACACTGGCGCGAAGCGAGCGTGGACGAGGCGATATGATTGTTCGCAAGATGTACCGCTGTCGCGGGGCGCTGCAGAATGGTGAATGCCGTGAATAGCGGATCGTGAACCTAACTGCGAAGCGAAAGCGGCAACGACGGAGGATGCCAGGACTCGGATTCGTGCGGTGACTACGGACACGACTGGAGTCCGGATGCTCGTTATGGACGTCACCCAAGGTGCACTAAGGCAGTTACCTAAAGTCCTGGACGCGACGGACATTTATGAACGCGACGAGCACGCATGGCAAAGGTAGTCTGGTGAGGTGATACTAAAAACATCAGGGGCAGCAGCTCTTTGGTTGTTGGTTTGGGGAAGAAAGGCGGTTCCATATGGATTTGCAAAGAGGCGCAAGATGTCTCTGACAACATGGGGATTGGTCAGAGATTTCCAGCACAGCGATGGCAGATTTGCGCGTTAGTATCAGGGTGCATGATTTCATATAGGGTGAGGGGATCACTTTTGTTTGAAGTCGACATACACGAAACTTTATTCTACTTCCCGAGCCACGTTTGATCAGCCCAAGCATCTTCGTGTTTCGATCGTGTGTGGTCTTGCGGGGGCTCCCTGCTGGGCCACGAACCTCACAAATCAAGCCGCACCTCGATGTGACGCTCGGCAACATCGACGCCCAGCCGCCGTTCACGAAAGTCCATACCGTCAAAAGGTACCAGACGTGGCACGTTTCGGCAACCCATGTCAGCGGCGAAGACGGAGTCGTCTGGTTGGAGTTGCTGGAAATCTCGAACGCCCCGTCACGTCCGTCAAGCTTGAAACCAGCCCTTGGCTGCGCCTCGGGAGCTCCACCGAGTGGCAATGTTTGGGACAAGTGCCTGCAGTGGCATTTGGCTAAAAAGCCCAGTGCAGTCCAGGCTTCAACCCAGTGCAGCTCCAGTTTCAGCTAACTTTATTACTTCAGCCGTGACGCAGCGGTTGGGTGCTCTCAAGGTTCAGCACTAGCTTGCATTCAGGCTACCTTAGCGGTCCCTCCTAGCATCTTCTGAGCCATGCTTTGCATGTGTTAGTGATTCCACGTCTTTTTTTCTTCTCTTTCTCTAGTACCTAGTTCTAGTAATAGTGAAGATGACGAACAAGTGGTTGAAGTCGCTTTTCCGCTGTAAGCCCCAGCCTGCGAAGATTAAGCCTGAGGTGAGGGGTCCTATTAGATTGGACAATCATCGTATTTCGCGGTATCCTGAGTGTCCTTTCGACTTACAATTTCCTGTATTGTCGTCCTATTAATACTGACACTATCTCTGACCGACTACCACAGGAACTCCTCGAGGATGATTTGTACTCTGAAAGCGGATACTCGAAGGACGAAAGTGTAAAAGCAACGAAAAGCTTCAAGTCTCCCGCAACATCTGCCATTTCTGCTCATGAATCATCACCGGTCCAGTCTTCGCGAACAGTTCCGTCCTTCTATATCAATGCAGATGGATCAAAAGCTCGGGTTCCTGCTTCACCATCTGCTTCTCGCTCAGCTGCCAGGTCGCCTTCACCTTGCAGTCGCTCCGCCAATCCAGCATCCCCCTCCACCAAGGAGCCTGGACATGGCTCCGCCTCCCGCTTCACGGCACCTCAGTCACCCTCTACCTCTTGCACCTCTGTTACCATGCCTCCCCCAGCAATTTCTCAAGCCTCAGCCTCGCATGGCCGCTCATATCGCTCAAAGTCTGCTGCTAGATCTGCTGCTGAAGCGTCAACGTGCTCCTCGGGCGTGTCGCTCAAATCTTCTCCCAAGCGGGAATCGAGCACCGCAACATCTTCATGGTCTGGCCGGCGCATGTACAGCGCCACGAAGAAGCAAGCGATAGCACCTGCTATGTCAGCTGAGTCTGCAGCAGCCATCAGGATTCAGACTGTGTATCGTGGTTATCTGGTAAGCTTGATCAACTATGCTGACGCGCAGTGCACATCTCATCTCTAACAAAGAGTTTCTGTTATTCATGGCTTGTCTTATGTTGGATGGATGTGGCGTCAGGCTCGTAAGGCTCTTCGTGCATTGAAGGGGCTGGTTCGCCTCCAGGCTTTGGTGAGGGGCCATATTGCACGGAAGCAGGCAAAAGCTACCCTTCGCTGCATGCACGCGATCGTTCGTGTCCAGGCTCGGTTCCGTGCCCGTCGGGTTCGGATGTCCAGGTTCGTGTCCCCGCATTCAATAGGAAGCTTAGACCCTGTCAGCCGTCCCATTGTTTTCTGACATAGGCCTTTTCTTGCTGCAGGGAGGGACAACTTGTCCAGCGGCAGTTGGAGAAGATTTCCCGCAAGTATCACCCTGAAGTGGTTCTCAAACGCAACGAGGTATGACTGTGTTCACCGAATTCAAGTGTCACGTCATCCAGGAAACTGTCTTGCTTTCTGCGATGTTTGACACTGACTCTCTTTGGTTTCAGGTTGGCTGGTGCGATGCTTCTGGAACCGTAGAGGAGATTCAGGCAAAGCTTCAGAGCAAGCAGGAGGCCATCCTTCGTAGGGAACGTGCTTTAGCATATGCTGATTCTCGCTCGGTAAGTGTAACACAGGGTGAACAGTTCTTGCGTGCTGCTTTTCTCGCAGAACTAACTTCTGTTTTTTCGTTACATTCAGCTTTGGAAGAAGGAGAAGCCTACCCAGCAACGCTCCATGGCATACATTGACTGCGAGCCCGACAAGGGTGGTTGGGGGTGGAGCTGGCTGGAGCGCTGGATGGTCGCGAGGCCGTGGGAGAATCGTCTCATGATGGCGCACTATCAGGCTGTTAACCCCAAAGCCAAACGTCAGGGAGCACTCCGTCTGTTTGAGGCTCAGTTAGTGGAGTCCAAGCCCCACCGCACTGTGGCGCTGGTGGACATGGGCAAGTGCAAGAGCTGCGGCCGCCGTGTCCTTGTCAAGCCCTCCGTGGCACAGGCAGCCAACGCCGCAGCTGCTGCTCAGGCGTCCGCTAATGGCACTGCGCCCTCTAAGGCAATTCCCCACACCTGCAACATCTGTGCCCCCACGGTTTCCTGGGCCGCCAAGGTCGGAGCCCTTCCACCCGCGACCACGACCACTGGCAGCAACCGTGGAGCAGCAGCTGCGATGTCTCGGCTGTCGCTTGGAGCTTCGCATGAGCCACAACCCCTTGCAGATGCTGTGATTGGGTCCAGGTCGCTGAGTCGATCTGCTAACCGTTCAGCTTCCAACACAGGGCCCCATGCACCACTCTCCCCATCAGCATCGTTCAAACGTGCCAGCGCATCGCCACGCATTGTTCCTCACTTCATGGAGACTACTGAGTCCACGCGCGCTAGGACGAGAGCTAACAGCACACCCCGAGGGCGCCAATCTGATGGTTTTGGAAGCAAGCGAGGACCGGCGCCTCAAGAAGCAGGGGGTGTCCTTGCTCCCGTAGTGCTTGGGCCTCAAGCTGAGACATCAGCAGTCCACGAGGAACAGCTATCAGACGCACAACAGTGAGACGCTACACGTGCCTTGGACACACAGATTTCACACCACATTGCAGTTAGCATAGTTTTCTTCCACTACTGACTTCATAGCAGGGCTGATTTGCTTTATGTGATTTCCCACAGCTTGTATTCCCTTAGCTATGTTTCTCACATGCCATTGCACCTTTGTGTCTAGCCGTAATAAGGGTCTCAAATTGCCCAGTTTGGCAAAGGCTATTCTGGGGATAGGCATATAAGCAAATTAGGACTTTAATGAGATTCAGATACTGATTCTTGGATATCATGCATACGCTGGTATGCTCTAATAAGTGGATATTTAATCTCCAATTTTGTCCACATCACACTTTACCATGGGTCACAACACGAAAGCAACAGCGTATGGGTGTCAAATACCAAGTATGCTGTAATCCGGAGAATTTAGTTATTTAATGGAGAATTTTTAGTTGCTTACAGGCGTTATGTTATTTATGTTGATATGAGGTGCAGAACCAGCCAGCGCCAGGAAAAACACCAGAGTCACTGCAACGTGGGCAGAGGGTGTGTCCACGCCAGCAGCTTTCAGCACCAGCATAATTATTGATTTCAACTCTGGTGCAGTTGTCAGCTGACGGAGCGTTCTGTTGGCTGGTCAGCCACCAACTCTCGCGGTGCCAGTTTTGTTTGTCAGTCTGACGAAAAACATTTTCTCACTGCGCCTCGGTTCGGCGTAGATCACTCGCACAGCCGACAAATTAGTCGCTACTGTCGCATGAAGGCGTGAACCTTCTTCAGTGGTTCGCCGAACTTGCCGTGCCCATCGTCAACGACCGAAATGCGATGACCTCACAAAGCCCAGCTGTCGCCCAAGCCGTGCCACAGACGGTTGTCGTCTGCACCGTCGTTTAGCCGTTTGTCGCAATGGAAATCCTCCGTCATCAGTCAGCGCGTTCACGGCAGCACTGAGCCAGGAAGCTTGTCTGGGCGCAAACCTTGTGAGCTGCGCTTCGCGCCACCGCGCGTTGCTCCCCTGGCGCTGCCTCCCTCCCATCCCGCCCCACGTGAATCGCAACAATCCCATCCCCTTCGGCCTCCATCCGCCTCCACCTCCGCGCCACCCGCTCCACCCCTGCCGCCAGCCACGCCACTCCCTGCTGCTCGCGGCTCCTACAAATCCACCTGCTGCGAACTCAGTCGGACGTTCCGAATTCAAGTAACCCCTTCAATACTTGGGGTTACTAAGCCATAGCGTTCAGCACAGAACGATCCACCATTTATTAGTCAGTTTGCTTTCAACTAACTCTTAAGCCACGCGAATTATTCATCCAGCTAGTGTCTCTTACAAAGCCATTTCGACCGGTCGGAGTTCTGCCGTCCTTTTGTTGCGATACGCATATCCCTGGCCGACACGAGTCATCGGGACAATGGCTTTGTCGCGAAAGCCGCTGTCATTGTTGATCGCCGTCGTCGCGCTACTGAGCATGCCTTTCGTCTGTCGCGCTATAAGCAAGGTGGACATGCTGCAGGAGCTGGTGGTTTACAGCGAGGACGACGCCTTCACGTTCACGGAGCTCGAAGCGCAGCAGGCGGCCAACGACGAGGAGATTAAAGCCGCCGCCATCGCAAACGCGTTCCACCATCTGCACGGCTCGGAGGACTTCAGCGGCGCGGAGGACGACGATTACGTTTCCGTTTCCGCGACGCGCGAGTCGGAATCTAAGACAATGGCGGTCACCGCAGCGCCAACCATTCTGGACGCCGTGTCGCAAACCTTGTCGAAGCGGTTGAGAGGATTTTTCGGCTGATCGAGCGAGCATCGCGCGGCTGAAGGGAAAATGGCGAGTGATTAACGACACGAGGCAGTATCGCTCATGCTGCCTGATAGTGAACGGGACAAGAAGACAATATCGTCTTACTGAGCTGGCTGCGGCCAGTAATCGCCATACCTAATGTATCATAGTCCTAGTATAATAGGTCATCGCGCACATGCCGCCGAAGGCGTGCGTGCAACCATACGACTTGTGCGGCAATTCGCACAAACACTTATACCGGTGCCCTGCGTGACAATGCAATGTGACTGTTATCAATACAAGCACTATGCTAACGACGACCTTGCATGCGTGATTCTCTCTCATCCACCTTCCTCCTTACCTCAGCAACAACCACAGTGAATCCCTAACCATTGTGCGTGCAACCATACCATTGTTCTAGTTACACCATGCACCAAAGCACGCATGGCTGCAGTGATAGCTCAAGGCAAACTAGTGGCACGGAAGCAGAGGAGGCGGAAGAGGGAGGCATCTCTGCCTTCCCCAGGGAACGCCGTCCCCACCGCTGCCTGCATCGCCCGCTCCACACTCCCCCCAACACGCTCTGCCACCTCTCCCTCCGCCACCTCTAGCCCCGCTGCTGCCGCTGCAGCCAGCACATCAGGCTCGAGCACCTGGCGTGTGATGTGGCACAGCAGTAGCACCGGCACACGCCCCCCGCTCCCGTCCCGGCGTGCCAGGAGGCGGGCGGCCGACTGGAAGAGCAGCGGCACGGCGGCACGCACATACACCACGTCCGCTCCCAGGATCACATCAAACCCCCTCCCCTGCTGCGTTGCGGTATAAGCAGCCTCGGTATCGTCTCCCTTCATACTGCTGCCTCCGACAGGGGCTGTGCGCGCATCGCTCCCTTCTGTACTGGCTGTGGTTCCCCCTCCCTCCTCCTGCACATGACCCTGATCCGCCCCAATCACATCATGAGAGGGAAGCAGTTGCGTCACTGCTGCCTCGTCGCCCTCATCGCCCCACCGCAGCCGGCACACCTTGATCCTGCCCGTCTCAAAGCTCCCCGCATTCAGCTCCAGATTCCCCGGCAGCAGGCTGAGAGCGTTCTCGTCCCCATCTGTCGCCACAATGACACGTGGCGCGCTGTGAGTGGCTGCGAGCGAGCAGAGCGCGGCGCCGCCCGCACCAAGCTCGAGGACGGAGGCGTGGCGGGTGAGGGCGGGGTGGGCGAGCAGCAGCGCTGCCAGCACCTGAGACGACTCCCACAGCAGCCGCCCCGTGCTGCCGTGCGTATGCTGGTGCTCGCGGGACAGCAGGCGCACACGCAGTGGCAGGTGCGCGAGGGACAGGGCGTGGTCCTGGGGGACAATGGGTGGTGGGTTGGGAGACGTTTTTGTGGGGGTAGATAGGCGGAGAGGAGGGAAGGGAAAGGGACAGGAGCGAAAAGGGCGAAGCAGAGAGGGAAAGGAGAGAGGGGAGGAGAGAGGGGAGGGAGGGAGGGGATGAGAGAGGGGAGCGGAGGGAGAGAGAAGCACCTCTAAAGGGGGGTCGGAGAGGAAAAGGCCGCTGCAGTCCACCTCACATGTGATGTCACTGCCGCCCGTGCCGCCCTCCTCCCTGCCGCCCTCCTCCCTGCCGCTCTTCTCCGTGGCACCAACTCCTTCCCTGCCCCTGCCCTCGCCTTGCACAACACTGCTCCCACTTCCGCTTCTCTCCTCCTCCCCTCCTTCCCTGTCGCTCATCCCTCCTGCCCCAACATCCTCCGCAGCAGTTGCAGAAGCAGCAGAGGGAGCAGAGGGAGCAGAGGGAGCGGCAGTGGCAGCGGGGGGCAGGCGGAAGACTGCTTGGATCCAGCGCCTGGTGGTGCCATCGAGGGGCAGGCAAGAGGAGGGAGTGCGGGGGAGAGGAGCGCGGCGCAGTTGCAGTGGGTGTACAGGAAAGGGGTGTTCCACATACAGAGCAAATGAGGAATGGGTCTTTGTGTGCAAAAGAATGCACAAGCTAATAGAAGCACCTGCCATGTCAGCAGCACCTGCCACGTCAGCAGCACCTGTGCATGTCGATCTGTCGTGCACGGTTGGTGACGGTGCGCTCACACACGCCCATGTGCACGCACTGCATGCCCGCCCCCGCAAACAGCTCTCCCAGCGCCGCCTCTGTGAAATAGTACGCTCGCTGTTGTGGCCGAGGGGGGGGGGGGGAAGGGCATGGGGCGCAGGGCGCAGGGGGGCATGGGGCGCAAGGGGAGAAGGGGGGAAAAGAGGCAGGGTTGGATGGGAGAGACATGGAGAGATGAATGAATCCACAGGCACTGTGGCATAGCGTCGCCTTGCCTGCATCAGCTGACCATTCTCCCCCCTCATCATGCCATCCCCCCCACCCAGCACACCATCGGCTCCCCCCTCCACTCACGGTGCCATCGCCGCGCACATAGAAGTTGTCGGCGATGCGCTGCTCCTTGCGCCTCAACCGCTCCTGTAGGGCACGGCACGGTGGCGTGGCGGGGAGGATGGAGGCAGGGGGATAGAGGGATGCAGCGGATGGTCGCACGACATGGGGACGAAGTGACAAAACACACTGACATGGAGTTTCTGACGTTTGACTATGCGGGGCACCTGAGCAACACACCTGAACGCCACACCTAAACCACCCACCTGAGCCAGGTCGCCAGCAGCATAGTCTCGAACCAACACATGCCCGCCTGGCTGCATGCCATGCCATGCCATGCCATGCCATGCCATGCCATGCCATGGGGTGCGGTAGGACGGGGCACAGGGCGGGTGTGAGTAAATGAGTGTTGAGGCAGGGAGCAGCAGAAGGCAATGAGAGGGCGAGCGGAAATGCAAGAGCCTCTTGTGAGGGGGCAAGCGGTCACAGCACGATCAGCCAAGAGCATGTGTAGGCGGGCAGGGGGGAGGGGCGAGGGGACCTGCCTTGAGAACAGTGGCCACGTTGGCGACGGCGAGAGGCATCTTCTCAGGTGAAATGGCAGATAGCACAAACACCTGCGCATGGGGTTCGGACCGTGGGGTGGCGGTGGGAAGTAGGGAGGTTAAGGTGAGGTGATGGAAGGTGGGGTGATGCCGTGCCATGCCATGGCATGATGGGAGGAGCCTTGCACCACATTGACATGGCACCCACCATGGTAACCACATGGCACCCACCATGGTAACCACATGGCACCCACCATGGTAACCACATGGCACCCACCATGGTAACCACATGGCACCCACCATGGTAACCACATGGCACCCACCATGGTAACCACATGGCACCCACCATGGTAACCACATGGCACCCACCATGGTAACCACATGGCACCCACCATGGTAACCACATGGCACCCACCATGGTAACCACATGGCACCACCATGGTAACCACATCCACTTGAGATGGAGGAGACACTGCAGGGCACTGCGGCACGCAGCTCGTGCACGCACCACCACCACCACCACCACCACCACCACCACCACCACCACCACCACCACCACCACCACCACCACCACCACCACCACCACCACCACCACCACCACCACCACCACCACCACCACCACCACCACCACCACCACCACCACCACCACCACCACCACCACCACCACCACCACCACCACCACCACCACCACCACCACCACCACCACCACCACCACCACCACCACCACCACCACCACCACCACCACCACCACCACCACCACTGCTGCTGCTACTGCTGGTGGTGGCGTTGGCGGTTGCGATGGCAGTGGCGAGGGGGTCCGCTGTGATGTCCGCCACGAATGCTCTCAGCCTGTGCGCGTCGTAGTGCTCACTGCCCTGCCCGCCACCATGCCAGCACACATGCCGATGAGAAGAGACACGCATACATACACGCACACACACACACGCAGAGGGAGAGTGAGGGAGCGACACAGAGAGGCTGGCCGTGAGGGTGCTGGCATCAGTGCATGCAGCATGCAAGCACAGAGCAAAGCAACATGCGAGCACCACACGCTCACACCTCCCCCTTTCCACCATCCGCTGCACCCCTCCCCCCACCATGTACACCCATCTCCACCCCTGAACGCACGGTGACGAGCGCAACAGCGCGCGGGGAGAAGTCGCAGGCGAGGGCGAAGAGGTGCGGGTCGTCTGCGAGCAACGGGAACACCGTGTTGCCCGCCCCGCACCCCACCTGCCCATCGGGGGGGCACAGAGGGGATGGCGGAGGACAGGGGTAATAGGGAAACATGGGGGAAGGGATTGGGGAAATACAGGGGGAATAAGGGAGCAAGGCGGGGATGGGGGGAGCACAGGGGGATGAGAGGGCGTTGGGTGAGGGGGTAGGGGGTGCATTGGCGGTGAGAAGAGAGGAGTGGCGCAGGAAGGTGAAGGGGCAGCAGGGCACAGGAGAATAGGGGGAGGCTGAAGCACAGCAACACTGCACCCTGCACGGCCCCCTCCCCACGCCCCACTCCACCTCCCACCTCCCACTCAACACCACTCGCCTCACCTCCAGCACCACTCGTCGGATGGCAACGCACCGCTCGCACACGCACCCCTCCCTGCCGCCGCCACACCCACCACCGCCCCCTGCGCTCCCCGCTCCTGCGCCTGCATCCCCGGCCCTAGCCTCCCCTCCCCCTCCCTCTGCCCCCCCCTCTTTTCCCCCCTCTGTCCCCGCCTCTGCCGCTCTCCCTGCGCCCGCATCCCCGCGGAGGAAGAGCGCCCACTCGTGGTGCAGGTAGTGGCGGTCCTTGAAGAACTGCGCGCAGAGACACGGGGCGACGGCGAGACGGGGAGGAGATGGGGGAAAGGGGAAAAGAGAGTGGGGTGGAGGAGTTGAAACGGAATGAGCAACGCAGAGCAGAGCGAGGGGGGCTTGACAGTGGGGGAGGGAAAGGTTGTGGCAGTGGTGGGGTGAAGGATGCAGTGTGGCAGCGAAGCAAGGCGAGCAGAGTGACAGTGGCAATGGTAGTCACTGTGCACCACGTGGCATGCGCTCACCCGCTCGCCGTTGCGCTTGTAGAAGAGATCCCAGTAGCGCCTCGCCTCCCTCTCGTACTTGCCTGCCCCGCGCAGCCCATGGCACACACACATTCACACGAGCACACATCCGCACATGCACGCGTGCACCCATGCATTCATGCGCACAGACAGAGACGAGGGGTGAGGGGCCAGGGACGAGAAGCGGCTGCTCGAGTGGGTGGCGGAGCACCAGCGGACGATCGCGTAACTCCGCGTCTCCCGCGCTGCAACTGCGCGCCCTCACCCCGCCCCATCTCCGCCACTAGGTCCTTCCTTTCTTCGCCCATGGTCCCCCACTGGTACTATCGTGCCTCCTCTACTCCTCCCTCCACACTGCTCCCGCCCCTCTCTCTTACCTTAAACCCCGAACCCAGGACCTGGAACCCTGACATGGTCATGAATCCAGCTTCCTTGCGTGTGTTAGGGTTGGTTCGCCCAACCACGGAACCTACGGCGAAAGCTTCTACGACGGCGGAATGACGGCGAAATGGAAGCACGTGGATGATTCTAGGTGAAACGGTGGAAATCGGCCTACGGTGGAGAATGGAAGCTACGGCGTGAGAAGCGAGAGAGAAATTGGGAAGAAACTAGAGAAATGGAGGAAGAAGAGTGAAGAAGTATCGAGATTGGAGTTGACAAGGGGAAATTGTGGTTCGAGACTGAGGCGTGTTCGAGAAGGTGCTGGATTCGGACTCGAGGAGTGTTCGGCGAATTCGGTTCGGTTCCGTGTGCGACTCGGGGTGAAACGAGGCGCACGCGGTTACTTGGGAAACAAGTGAAGTTACGAATCGCATTTTGTGTCTTGCTTGACTATAAAACTGCTTGTACTCATTCTGGAAATCACAACATTGAAACCAATCAGATTCTGAAAATTGCTGAAGTGTGTATTGACAACTTCAAGCAGAGCTGCGCATATCATTGGATTCGTGAGATCGTGGAGAACTGTCAGAACACGCTCTTAACTCTTGACTTAGTAACTTAGGGTCTACCTAGGAAGCGTGAGTGTCGAGAGTGAGCATGGCAAGAGAATTGGGCAAAGAAGGGATTCACTAAGGAATGTTTACAAGATATAGGATAGGGGAGAGGATAGGGTACACCACCAGCAGTTGAACCTAATAACTAACTAATACACTAGCAAGCTGTAGGCAGTTAGGATATGCAATATAATTCAACACACCCCCATAACTGCCTACGGCTATAGCTAGTGGTGTCTGGCACCAGGTCGCCTGGAGAGCGGTTGCTGTAGCTGGGATAGGCACAGAAACAGCGGTGGCTGAGCGGCAGCACCTGTGAACGCCAGAACGGAGGAGGGCGCGGAGAGCGCGGAGGAGGGCTGGGATAGCCGGAGGGCGAAGGATGCTGGTCGCTCGCCATCTACGAGCAAACACAACTGTTGGTGAGGAGGAGGAAGCTGGTGGTGATGCACAGGAGGAGAGCAGAGGAGATGCGGCTGGAGAGGAGAGAGGAGGAGGAGATGCGGCTATAGGAGAGGAGACTGGAGGAGGAGATGCGGCAGAAGGAGAGGAGAGGAGAGAGGAGGAGATGCGGCTGGAGGAGAAGAGGAGAGGAGAGGAGAGGAGAGGAGAAGAGGAGGAGGAGGAGAGGAGAGGAGAGGAGAGGAGAGGAGGTGGCTGGCGCGGCAGAAGCTTTCCCGCCACCCCCTCATCCCCCTCCCCCCCATGCGCTGGCGCTGGCGGAAGTGCTGGCGCTGGGCGCTGGCGTCGCGCTGGCGCTGGCGCCCGCCGTTGGCGCTTGCGCTAGCGCCCGCCGTCGGCGCTGGCGTCCGCGCTGGCGCTTGCGACCGCCGTTGGCGCTGGCGGTGGCGCCCGCCGTTGGCGCTGGCGCTGGCGCCCGCCGTTGGCGCTTGCGCTGGCGCCCGCCGTCGCCTCGCTGGCACGCTCGCCACTGGCAGAGCGCGACGGGGCAGGCGAAAGGGGGCAGCGCGACGGGTGCTGCAAAAGCAGCGGAGTTCGAGCCAGCAGCGGATTTCGCGCTACTAGCAGTAGCAGCCATGCCAGCAGCACAATAAGTCGCCATGGCAGATCGCGGGTTTGGTGGGCCCATGAAAACGAGGTCCTAGGAGGGACCACGCTCTGATACCATGTCAGAACACGCTCTTAACTCTTGACTTAGTAACTTAGGGTTTACCTAGGAAGCGTGGGTGTCGAGAGTGAGCATGGCAAGAGAATTGGGCAAAGAGGGGATTCACTAAGGAATGTTTACAAGATATAGGATAGGGGAGAGGATAGGGTACACCACCAGCAGTTGAACCTAATAACTAACTAATACACTAGCAAACTGTAGGCAGTTAGGATATGCAATATAATTCAACAAGAACACGATAAGCAATAGCAAGTAGACTATTGCCGACTAAGGTGTTTACGATCCTAAGAACTGGTATCAGAGCTTGGCGAACGAGCGCGTCGATCGTCGTGAATTCACTTGGTGCGCTAAGTGAAATTAGTGGAGAAGAGGAGTCGTTCACGCCTACGACATGGGAGACGAGGCGAGTTCGGGTTCCAGTGTGAGTCTTGGAGACCCGCAGTTGAAGGCTCTTCTTGAGGCCCTTGCGAGTGGCCGATTGGTGGCGAAACCGACGATCGGGCTCAGTGAAGCCCAGCGCTTCAACGGGAGCAACTACAACGTGTGGCGGAAGAAGTTCATTCGAAGGGCAGAGGAGGTGGACCTCTTGCCGTACTACCGCCCCGATGAGGAGACGATGGAGGGAGTTGCGCCTTCCACGACGGATACGAAGGAGAAAATAACGGCGTTTAAAAAGCAAAGTAAGCAAGCGTTCTTTCAGCTTTGTCATTCAGTTGCCGATGGAATCGCAGTGGATTTGGACCAGTTTGCAGGGGAGCTGAACTCTGCACAGTGAGCGTGAGAGTACCTAGAGTCCACGTACGTGGGTACGAACGATGTCAACAAGAAGGCGATTCGGAAGCAGCTGCTGATGCTGAGCATGGAGAAAGGCGAGAAAATCATCACCTACATCAACAGGGCGAAAAGCTACAACGACGATTTGCGGGTGATGGGAGCCGCGGAGACGGAGCATGAGATGATTGACTATATCATCCAAGGCCTTCCTAAGGAGTGGGAATCCGACATCGGTATGTTTACGTACCAACCGCCGGAGAGTTTGATGAAGCTGCAGGAGATTCTGCAGTCGCTTGAGACGGTGAAGGAGATGAGGAAAAAGAAAGCAGCAGCTGCAGCTAAGGAATTCGACGAGGAGAGGCCGGGTATGGTGAATGCCACGAAGGCGTTTGGAGCATGCTACCAGTGTGGAAAGCGCGGGCATAAGGCGATAAATTGCTACGAGAACCCGCGAAGCAGAAACTATAAGGGCAAAGCGATGGAGAACGAGAAAGGAGAAAATGCAGGAGCGGAGTGGCAGCAGAAACGAGGTTTTGGCGGCAAGTGTGATTATTGTGGGCGCTACGGGCATCGTGCCGCAGAGTGCTACTCCAATCCGAACAGCAGGAGCTACAAGGGTCCGTCGCAGCAGAGGAATGTGGCGACAAAGGCAAATGCAGTGGAAGCGGAAAAGGAGGATGTGATTTTGGGAGGAGCGCATCTCGCGAACGTGGTGCGTTTACCGAGTGAGGCTCAGACAGATGGACGTGAGAAGAGGGCGTGGTTTATGGACAGCGGATGCACGCGTCACATGACGTTCAGGTCAGATTGGATGGAGAATGTGAGGGAGTCGAGTGAGGATTATATACTGCAAGGTAACAGTGGGAAGTTACCAGTGACAGGAGAGGGTGACGTGGTGCTGCAGAGTCCGTATGGAAAGGTGAAACTGGAGAGTGTGCTGCTTGTGTCAGATTTATATGACATAGCTACTGTAGGCTAGAGTGGGGTAGCACATATGGGGTACAGTTTTCTAGGGTTTGCTTCTTGTACCCAACTTTCACTTAGTCATTCTCATTCCTGTTTTTCTTAATTCACATGGTATAGAGCGGGTTCCTACATGGGACCGTTCCTTCCTAAGGGCCCACCATAAGATTTTTTTTTTTAGCTGCCCGGTCCTGACGCGGCCTGCTGCGGCCCCTGCCGCGGCCCTGAAGCGGCCCCTGACGCGGCCCTGAAGCGGCTCTGCCGCGGCCCTGACGCGGCCCTGACGCGGCCCCTGACGCGGCCCCTGCCGCGGCCCCTTACGCGGCCCTGACGCGGTCCTGCCGCGGCCCCTGGCGGCGCCCTGACGCGGCCCCTGACGCGGCGCCCTGACGCGGCCCTGCCGCGGCCCCTGACGCGGCCCCTGCCGCGGCCCCTGACGCGGCCCCTGACGCGGCCCCTGTCGCGGCCCCTGTCGCGGCCCCTGACGCGGCCCCGCCGCCTCCTCTCAGCGGCCCCGCCGCCTCCTCTCAGCGGCCCCGCCGCCTCCTCCCAGCGGCCCCGGACGCCGCCCTCTCAGCGGCCCCGCCGAGCCGCCCAGCAGCCTAGCCGCCCAGCAGCTGAGCCACCGAGCCGCCCAGCAGCCGAGCCGCCGAGTCGCCCAGCAGCCGAGCCGCCCAGCAGCAGAGCCGCCGAGCCGCCCAGCAGCCGAGTCGCTGAGCCGCCCAGCAGCCGAGCCGCCGAGCCGCCCAGCAGCCGAGCCGCCCAGCAGCCGAGTCGCCGAGCCGCCCTGCAGCCGAGCCGCCCGAGCCGCCCTGTCCGGTAAGAGCAGCGCCTCTCTCACAGCACTGCCCTCACCCCACTGTTTGCGCTGCTAGTCTACTACTGTCATGGCTACCCCTAGTGTCCTCGCTTTTGACGCTGAGGGTCGGGCCATTGACTTTGACGTCTGGATAGATGACCTGCAGCTTTTCTTACAGTGCGATAGGGCAGACGGCCTCTCCCTCTTTGACCTCACTTCTGGTGCCTCTCCTTCTCCCGCCACTGATGCTGACGCAACTGTTCGCTCCCAGTGGGCCACGCGCGATGCTGCTGCACGTCTTGCTGTGCGTCGCCACCTGCCTACCTCTGAGCGTGCGCACTTTAGCCAGTACAAGAGTGCTCAGACCTTGTACGACGCTGTAGTTGCACGCTACTCCTCCCCTGCCACTGCTGCACTGAGCCGCCTCATGCTACCGTACCTCTTCCCTGACCTTGCTGCCTTTCCCACAGTCGCTGACCTCATCACGCACCTCCGCACTAGTGACACTCGCTACCGCGCTGCGCTTCCTGCTAAGTTCTGCGCCAAGAACCCCCCCCCCATGTACATCACCCTCTACTACATCGTCACCCGTCTCCCTGACTCCCTTCGCGTAGTCAGGGACCACTTCCTCTCGGTTTGTCCCACCAC